AGAATCTTCTAAATTTTAATATAAACTTATCTTTGCTCATGAGTTTTATACTACTGTTTTCATGTTACTTGTTAGCGTCCTTTCAACCTGAAGAACTCCCATTACCATTTTTTGTAAGGTAAGTCTAGATGTAACTAAGTTCCTCAACTTTTGTTTGTGTGGTATTTTTGAAGTACAACATTGTCAGGTATAGTATTCTTGATTGGCAGTTTCTTTCTTTCAGCACTTTGAATATATCATCCTATTCTCTCTGGGTGAAGATTTCTGCTGAGAAATCCACTGATAGCCTCATGAAGGTTCCCTTCTATGTTATAAGTCACTTTTCTCTTGGATGGTTTCAAAAATATCTGTCTTTGCCTTTTGATAATTTTATTTTAATGTGTCTCAGTATAATATTCTTTGGGTTTATCCAGTTTGGGAATCTTAGAACTTAATAAACCTGGATGTCCATATCCTTCCAAAGATTTGGGGAGTGTCCAGCCATTATTTGTTTAAATAAGCTTTCTGCCACTTCCTCTCTTTCTCTTTTTCTTAGACTTCCATAATGTGTATATTGGCTTGCTTGATGGTATCCCATTAATCTCATAGGCTTTCTTCACTCTTTCCATTCTTATTTCTCTTTTTTCTCCTCTGAGTAGATAATTTCAAATGACCTGGCTTCAAATTCACAAATTCTTTGTTCTGCTTGATCAAGTCTGCTGTTGAAGCTCTCTTTATATTTTTCTTTTCATTCATTGTATTATTCAGCTTCACAATTTTTGTTTAGCTCATATATATATAATTCTATCTCTTTGTTGGGATTCTTGTTTTGTTCATTTATTGTTTTCTTGACTTCATCAAGTTATTTATCTGTATTCTTTTGTAGCTCACTGAGCTTCCTTAAAACAATTAATTCAAATTCTTTTTCAGACAGTTTATAGATATCCATTTCTTTGGGATCAGTTATTAGAAAATTGTCATGTTCTTTTGGTGGCATTTTGTTTCCTTGTTTTTGTGTGTGTTCCTTGAAGTCTTGCATTGCTGTCTTCAAATCTGAAGAAGTCACATCCCCCAGTTTTTACTGACTGGCTTTGGGAGAGAAAGGCCTTCAATAGTTAGCCCAGTTAGAGATTTGGGGGTTCTCTCAGATATTTTCTATTGGGTGGTGGTGGAAGTGTTTGGATTGTATGTTTACTCTCATTCTGCAAAGTCAGTCTGTGTGCTGAGAGTGTTCTGTTTATTTTTTTCATAGCAGTGCTCTGAAGTGTTTGAGATTAAACACCTTTTTCCAATCCAGCAGAGTTGAGCCGGCTGTCTGTGAACTCATGCACAATCTGCAGAGGCTTATGTGTGTTGTCTATGTAAATGGGCTCAGGGTTCCACCTATGGGGAGGGAGGAGTATGTGGAATGCTGGATGAGTGCATGGGCTAGTTGGGGCAATCCTCATGTGGTGTGTCCTACAAGGCCCATGAACAGGCCTCTTGGTGTAGTCCATGAAGTATTTATAGAAACCACAGAAACTTTGTTGAGTTCTGTGCTCTGGTTGCTCTAATATCTTGTACCTCATCCCTGCTCCTATCTGCCCCAGACTATTTAGCTGTGACAATCCCCTCAGTATTCTGAAAGGGTAGGAAAGAAGTGGTATTCTTGGGCAACATCCCATATGGTTGGGGAATCCAGGTATTCACCATGCTTTCACTTTCCCCAATTTGGCCATGATGGATTTTTGCCTCTCCAAATAAACTGTAGAATCAGCTTGTCACCATCCATAAAATAATTTGCTGTACTTTGATTGGGATTGCATTGATTCTATAGATCATGTTGGGAAGAACTGACATCTTGACAATATTGAGTCTTCCTATCAATGAATATGGAACATCTCCTCATTTATTTAGTTATTATTTGATTTCTTTCATCAGAGTTTTATAGTTTTCCTGATATTAATCTTATACATATTTTGTTATATTTATATCTACTATTTCATTTTTGGAGGTGCTAATGAAAACGGGATTGTGTTTTTATTTTCAAACATTGTGTTCATTGCTAGTATATAGGAAAGTGATTGGTTTTGTATATTAACCTTGTATCCTGCAACCTTGCCATAATTGCTTATTAGTTGTAGGGTTTTTGTTTTGTCAGATTTTTTCAGATTTTCTGTGTAAACAATTTTCAGCAAACAAAGACAGCTTTATTTCTTCCTTACCAATAGTATTTCTTTTCTTTTTTTATTGCATTAGGTAGAACTTACAGTACAATGTTGAAAGGAATAAGTGACAAGGGACATTCTTGTCTCATTCCTGATCTTAATGGGAAAGGTTCTAGCATCTTACCATTAAGTGCATTATCTGTAGATGTTTTGTAGATAGTGTTTATCACAGTGGGAAATTTTTCCTCTATTCCCAGTTTACTGAGAGTTTTTAATTGTAAAGGGGCATTGAATTTTGTCAATTGCTTTGTTTGCTTCTATTGATATGAACCTGTAATTTTTCTTCTTTAGCCTTTTGATGTGATGGATTACATTAATTGATTTTTCAAATGTTGAACCAGCCTTGCATACCTTAAGTGGATAAATCCCACTTAGTTTTGGTGTATAATTCTTTTTATATATTGTATTTCATTGGCTAATTTTTGTTGAGTATTTTTACACCTATGTTTATAAAAGATATTGGCCAGTAATTTTCATTTCCTGTAATATCTTTGTCTAGCTGTGGTATTAGGGTGAGGCTGGCCACATAGAATGAGTTAGGGAGTATTTCCTCTGATTTTACCTTTTGAAAGAGATTATAGAGAATTGGTAAAATTTCTTCCTTAAATGTTTGTAGAAGTCACCTGTGAACTCACCTGGGTCTTGTCCTTTCTGCTTTGGAAGGTTATTAATTATTGATTCAATTTATTTTATGGGTATAGGCCACTTCAGATAGTCTATTTCTTCTTGTGTGAGTTTTGGCAGATTGTGTCTTTCAAGGAATTGGTCCATTTTATTTGGCTTATTAAGTTTGTGGGCATAGACTTGTTCACAGTATTCTTTTATTCTTCTTTCAATATCCAGAAGATATGTAGTAATGTCCCTCTTTCATTTAGGATAGTAGTAAGTTGCATACTCTCTCTTTTTTTCTTAGCCTGGCTAGAGGATTATTGATTTATCTATTTATCCTTCAGTTTTGTCAGTTTTTGTGTCATATAGTTTGACTTTCTGTTGTTAGGTGCATATACCTTAAGGATTATTAAGGCTTCTTGAAGAATTCTTCCCTTTATCATTATGTAATGGCCCTCTTTTTCACTAGTAAGCTTCCTGTCTTTGAAGTCTGCTCTGTCTGAAGTTAATATATCTTCTCCCACTTTCCTTTGATTTATATTGGCATGATGTACCTTTCTCCACCCATTTACTTTTAATTTATATGTGTCTTTATATTGAAAATGGGTTTCTTCTAGACAACGTACACTTGGGTCTTGTCTTTTGACCCATTCAACAACCTCTGTCTTTTGGGTGTGTTTAGACCATTGATGTTCAAAGTATTATTGATATAGTTGGGTTAATATCTACCACAATTGTTACTGTTTTCTACTTGTTGCCCTTGTTGCTTGTTCCTGTTTTGATTTCCACTCTTTTTCTGCCTTTCGTGGTTTTAACTGAGTATTTTATATGATTCAGTTTCTCTCCTTTTTTAGCAAATCAATTCTCATTCTTACCCTCCCCCTCCCCCTTCCCTCCCCCCA